GTGTAAAAAGGATCTGTGTGCGCATAGAGGCAAATATGTAAAGGGAGAAGGAAAATCGTCCCTGGAGTAGAATGTCAACAGTCAGGGCAAGGCAGTGACAGAACGAGAAAGTCTCAATTTGGGGACCACTGTAGTGACAGCGCTGAGCCACAGAAACATGTCAGGAGTCACCAGTGGGAGCTTAGACTAGTGTATACGAACCTGAAAGGAAAAGCTATCTACAGAGCCTCCAAGTGTTTCCCAGAAAGCAAAGCAAAACAAGTACATCCTGGAAGATTAGTTTTTGTTGCTGTTTTAAAAAAAAATGTTATTTTTATTTTATGCACACGTTTTGTCAGCATATATGTAGGTGTACTACATGCATGCAATGCCTGTGGAGGACACTGGAGGCACTGGATCCCCTGGAACTGGAGTTAGGGACAGTTATTGGCTGCCATGTGGGTTTTGGGAACTCAACCCAGGTTCTCTGGAGGGGCAGTCAGAGCTGTCCTCTCTCCAGCTCTGTTACAGTTTTTTTGTTATTTAAAAAAAAAAAAAACAACAACAAGGGCAGGAGAGATAGCTCAGCGGTTAAGAACACTGGTTATTCTTGCAGAAGACTTGGGTTTGAATCCCAGCACCCACATGGCAGCTAACAACTGTCCATAACTCCAGTCCCAGGGGATCCGACAGCCTCTTCTGGCCTCCATGGGCACTGCTGGACACGGGTGCACTTACCTACATGCAGGCAATACACGCATACACAAAAAATAAAAAAAAAAAAAACCAAAAAAAACTTTGGCCAGGCGTGGTGGTGCACTTTAATCCCAGCACTTGGGAGGCAGAGGCAGGCGGATCTTTGTGAGTCTGAGGCCAGCCTAGTCTACAAAGTGAGTTCTAGGACAGTTGGGGCTACAGGGAGACCCTGTCTCAAAAAGACAAAAAAAAAAAAAAACCAAAAAAAAAACACAACACCACCACCACCACCACCGTTTCATATAGCCCAGGTTGGCCTCAAATTCACTGTGTAGCCATGGCTAGTTCTGAACTCCTGATCCTCTTGCCTCCATCTCCCAGTTGCTGGGAAAATGGGCATGTACCACAACATCCAGAAAAACACTCTTATTAACACTAAAGGAAAAACTGTGGAGAGACCTAGTAGGCACCAAGAGTTCATAAACAGTATGGGTGATGGGAACCGAACCACATTGTGAGCCTGAGGGCACAGCATCTACTTGACAATCCTACCCAAAATGTATATACTGAGTTTACTCACTAGTAAACATTAGAGACCCGATACAAAAATAACTGGTTTGTTCCAAACCATCAGAACAAAGACAAAGAATGAATGGTAGGAGGCAAGGAAGGGCATAATGTCCCCTGCCTGTAATCCCAGCAGCGCTCAGGAGGTTGATGGAAGATAGCCTCAAGTTAAAGGTCAGGTTGGGCTACAGTGTGAGACCCTGTCTTAAAAAACAAAACAAGGGGGCCCTCAAGATGGCTCAGTGGGTAAAAGAGTTTGCCACCAAGCCTGATGACCTGAGTTTGATCCCTGGAACCCACATGGTGGAAGGAAAGAACCGATTCCTCCAAGTTGTCTTCACCTCCACACACACACTCACATGGACATAATACATACACATATGCAAAATAAATAAATGTAAAAACAAACAAACAAGCCGGGCGTGGTGGCGCACCCCTTTAGTCCCAGCACTCAGGGGCAGAGGCAGGCAGATCTCTGTGAGTTCAAGGCCAGCCTGGTCTACACAGTGAGTTCCAGGACAGCTGGGGCTACAGGGAGACCCTGTCTCAAAAAGACCAAAAAAAACCAAACCAAAGCAAACAAACAAACAAAAAACAAGGGCTGGAAAGATGACTCAGTGGGTTAAGGTACTTGCTACCAAGCCTGAGGCCTGAATTCAATTCCTGGAACCAAGGTTGGTGGAAGGAGAGAACAGACTCCTACAAGTTCTCTTCTGACCTCTACTCATGGTCAACGCCGTCCCTCCAAAGAGATACACAAAAACAAGTAAAGGTGCTAAGAGAAACAGAGACAATAGGAGACTCTGTTGTAGAATTTAAACCATGATGGCAAAAAGAGACAGGATCCTGGAATGTATGTACCGAAAAGAAAGGACTTTTCTTTTGCTCAGGGCACACTGCTGAGAAGTGACGACGAACTAAGTTTGTAGATTATAGCACTGTGACAATGCTCATTTCCTGAGTTTGGTAACTACACTGTGATTAGAGATGGGGTATGTCTTTTAAGGAAATACAAACTGAAGTCTGAAGTAATCAGGGTTCAGGAAACATCAGACCTATAATTAACTCTGAAAATTGTGTGTTGGGGGAGGAGGGGTAGGAGAAGGATAAAAACATTACAGTAACAAGTTAACACCAAAAAAGTTAACATTTAAGGAATGTTGGTGAGGAGTATGTGAGGATTCTTTGTATGATTTGTGCAGTTTTGGCTTTTTTGCGGTTTCATTAAGTTGATCTTATTTCAAACACATACAGCCTTTTGATATAAAAGCAAATATAGTGAACAGCTTTGATCATCAATAATCTTTTTTATTTTATGTGTATGAATGCTATGCCTGCTAAGTGCATCTGTGTTGTGCAGTGCCCGTGGAGGAGGGAAGAGGGCATTGGATCCCCTGGAACTGAACTTATAGACAGTTGTTAGCCACCATGTGGGTGCTGGGATTCAAACTTGAGTCCTCTGCAAGAGCAGCCAGTGCTCTTAACTGCTGAGCCATCTCTCCAGACCCTGAATAATCTTTTTAAAAAGATTTATCTTTATTATTTTAAATTATGTTGCTTATGTGTGTGCCTATGTATGGATATGTATATAAGGGTGTGGGTGCCCTCAGAGACCAGAAGAGGGTGAGGGATCCTTGGACGTGGGAGCTGGAGTTACAGGTAGTTGTGATCTGCCTGATGTAGGTGCTGGGAATTGTACTCACTCAGGTCCTCTAAAAGGCAGTATGTGCTCTTAACCCTTGAGCCATCTCTCTCCAGCCCCATCAGGAATAATCCTTGCTTTCTTATGATTTTTAGTGGAATTACCAAATCAAAGGTATGCAATTTCTGAAAGACTGGTGTCGGTACATTTTAAGATTGATACTGAAATATACTGATACAGGAATATGGGTTTCTGAGACTCTTGAACGTGGAGAAAGGCTGTGGAAATAGAGGATGGAAGAGGGTAGACATGAGGGTAGAAGTAGGCTAAGGTCTAGTCCTCCCAGGTGGGACAAACAGCTGGAATTACAGAGCAAGCTGCATGCCTATCGTCACTGTGCTGAGGCTTGAACCCAGGGCCTCAGGCATCCTAGGTAAAGCACTCTCTCTCTCACTGAGCTATACTTCTGACCCTATGAAGCATGCTCAAAATGAGTGGTAATCAAAGGTAGAGGAGGGGACATGTCAGCCAGTGAGTGGAGGACTGAAGCTGAGGACCACTTTAGACCTTTTCAGGAACAATCCTTAGGTGGTTTTACCAACTGCACAGTAAATTCCCTGCATGGTGAAGGTGGGCTTAGGTACCTGATTAAATGATAGTGCCCTGGATCTCCCCCACCTCTAGATGCCTCCCCCTGGGCTAGGCCAGTGATCCGCTGCTGAGTCCTTGAGTCTTCAGTTGGTGCTCAGGCAGCAGCCACATGCCGGAAACATGACCTAGCAACTTCCTACATGATATACTTTGATAATTCTCATGGTTTGAATATGAAGGGTCTCCTAAAAGGCTCATGCATTAATGGGTTGGCTGCCAAATGATGGGCATTTGGGTAGTGTCTGGATCCTGAGGGCTCTGACCTCATCCAGGGATTAATCCTTTGATGGATTTATATATGGAGGCATTGTTGTGAAGAAAAGGCCTAGTTAGAGGAATCATGTCCAGGGAGTACCCTGGAGAGCTCTAGCTTGCCCTTGGCATCTTCCTCTCTCTGTAACACAATAATATAAAGTCATCTTAAATGTCCATAATACATTTCCTTAAGGATGTATATATGAAAATGACTCCTTCTGAGTCTCTGTGGTTTCCCAGAGACTGCGTTATGTGCTTTGTGGGGGTATCTCATTTAGTCCTCCCAATGACTCCCTGAGACGGGAACATGATTATTCCCATGTCACTAATGAAAACCAAGTCTGGAGAGATTTTACTGGCTTCATGTCATCCACATCATAAAGCCTAGCTTCAAATTCAACCATTCATTCATTCATTTATTATTTATTTATTTGTTTATTTAAATTAGGTGTCTGTGTATGTGGGTGTGTACATTTGAGTGCAGGAGCCCACAGAAGCCAGAAGCATGTGATTCTCCTGGAGCTGGTGGTTGTGAGGCACCTGATGTTAGTGCTGGGAATCTAATGTGGGTCTTCAGCAAAAGGAGTATGTGGTCTATACCACGGAACCATCTCTCCAGCCACGAATTTTTTTTTTTTTTTTTTTTTTTTTTGGGACAGGGTCTCCTTGTAGCCCCAGCTGTCCTGGAACTCACTATGTAGACCAGGCTCACCTGGAACTCACAAAGATCTACCTGCCTCTGCCTCCCAAGTGCTGGGATTAAAGGCGTGTGCCACCACACCCGGCTTGGGCCAGGAATTTTTTTAAATAGTTTTTAATTGCATTTATTATTTGTCTGTCTGTCTGTCTGTCTGTCTGTCTGTCTCTGTGTTTGGATGTGTGTGTATGCACTATAGCATGTGTATAAGGTCAGAGAACAACTTTTGGGAGGTGGTTTTCTCTTTCCACCATGTAAGTTCCATATGAACTCAGGTCCACAGGCTTGGAATAAGTTCCTTTACCCACTGAGCCATCTTGCTGGCCCCAAATTCAAGAGGTTGAATCTAGAGTCTTCAGATAAGAAACTTTCACCAAGAAGAAGAAAAGGACAATCAATCATAAATTGAAAAACCGAAGTTACTAAATGGGGACCAAAGGTGAAAATTATATCCCAGTAAGTACATACCCCATTTTTCCACTCTAGATTCTGGACAGACTGTGAGGCTGTTACCTGACAGAAGAACTGCTGACTTCCTGCTCCAGGTGTGTTAGTGAAGGTGCTGGTAGGTTTGGAAGAAGAGACTGGAAGACGGTGGGACACACTGACTGGTACTGGAGTCCTGTTTGGCTGTGTCAGCTGGTCTCCCGTAAAGTTGGATCCTGCTGCCCCAGACTGAACAGCAGACCCAAGACTAGGATGAGCCGTGCTAGTTGAGCTGACGGCAGGAAACCGAGTGGGCCCTGTCATGCTGGTCACTGATGGCATGGTGGTAAAGCCTGGTCTTCCTTGGGAAACACTGCTCTGCCCAGGTGACAGGTGTAATACGGTTGGTGATGCCTGTTGCAACGGCATCTGTCCGCCAACAATCTGAGGAGACGCATGATTGACTATCACCGGACTTCCAGGGGTGGCAAAAGTCTGCCCAGATACTAACTGGACGGCGGTATTCTGGTTGTTAAGCATCTGTCCAGAATATGGCTGATTGGTCCTAAGCATGTTGGAAGAGTTCCTATTCAACATGACATGCTCTGAGGCCACTTGGCCAGAGATGAGCTGAGAGGGTTGAGTCTGAAGAAGTTGCCCATTTATGGTCTGGACGTGATGTACTGAGTTGGAGCTGACGGAAAGGCTTGTAGGTATAAGGAACTGACTTTGTGGGGCGTGAGGCTGGCCCATGGGCGAATGAATTACGATACTGCCCCCTGCACTGCTCACTGCCTGCGAGGTGACAGTCTTTCTTGTGTTCTGTTGGTTGACAATGTTCACAGACATGTGTGGACCGACTACGGAGCCCTGGGGCGAGCTTGCGGAGGCAAAAGAGAGCCCTTGCTGTACGTGGTGCTGCTGAATTCCCAGACTGTTCACATTGTATGTATTCTGCTGACCCATCTGGATAGGCTTTGGCTGGATATTAATTGGGACTTTATTTGAATTTGGTGCAAGACCCCTTTGAATGATGATGTTATGCACAGGTAAAGATGTCTGGAAATTTGTGCTATTAAATGGAACGGTGACAGGCTGTGCTACTGGACTGGAACTGGAGTTCCCAAACAAGGAGTTGCCATTAGGAGTCTGTCTGTGAGCCAGGAGCCCTCCACTCACACTGGATGGGGCTTGCTGCCCACTACCCTTTAATATGATTTGAGATCCATCTAGATTATTAATAGTCATCATGGAAGGTTGATTACCAAATGAACCAATTAACTGTATCTGACCAGAACCACTAATCTGACTGCTATTAGGCAAATGCTGGCTGGGAACACTGATCCCCACGTGTTGCATAAAGCCATGTTGCACACCCACTGTATTGCTTGCAAATGATGCTCCAACAGGCACATGAGTCACCCCGATAGGCTGCAAAGTCTGACCTGAGTAATTAGAAACATTAGAAGCCTGAGTAAAGGATGCTGATGAAGAAGGATGAAGCTGAGCTTGTGCAAACTGTTGGCTGGAGCCTATACTGGCATCCAAATAGGCTTCTTCTGCCAGCGTCTGTTCTGTGATGTTAGCCTCCTGCAAGGATTTCTGGAGAATGTCGAAAGGTTGGTCCTCGCTGAGATCAGGAAGAGGAGAAGACTCAAGTTCATCCTCAAGAAACTGAAGGCTGCTTGAAAGTGGTAGTCCATCACTGGGCCCTTCTCCAAGCTGGGAGCTTACACCCTTGAGGGACGATTTAGGGTCAGCATTCTACAAAACAGAAAAAGTGTGTTACACAGCATATCCAACCTTCAAAAGTGACACTTTGAAATCTTACTCTTGAATAAAGTATATCAATATTTTCCAGGCACAACTTTTTTGTTTCAGTTTTGTGGGTGGTTTGTTTTTTTTTTTTTTTTTTTTTTTTTTTTTTTTTTTTTTTTTTTTTTAAGGGGGGGTTTTTTTTTTCTTTTTAATATTTAAGTTTGCAGACCAGGTTGGCCTTGAACTCACAGAGATCTGGTTGCCTCTGCCTCCTAAATGCTGGGACTAAAGACATGCACCACCACGCCTGGCTTGGGTGTTTTAAGACATTAAAAATATCTTATGGGGCTGGAGAGATGGCTCAGTGGTTAAAAGCACTGACTGCTCTTGCAGAGGACCTGGGTTCAATTCCCAGCGCCCACATGGCAGCTACAAACTGTCCTTAACTCCAGGGGAATCCGAAGCCCTTTTCTGACCTCCACAGCATTGCACGACATGGGTGCACTCATATGCATTGCAGGCAATACACTCCTACACATAAAATAAAAATAATAAAATATTAAAAAAATTTTTTTAAATCTTATTACTTTTAAATTTTTGTTTTTTACTTTTTAAAAATTTTAAAATGTGTATGAGTGTATTGCCTGCATATGTGTAAGTGCATCCATGTCATGCAATGCCCGAGGTGGTCAGAAGGTATCAGATCCCCTGGAACTGGAATTTCAGATGGTTGTTAGCCGCCATGTGGGCACTAGGAACAGAACCCAAGTCCTCGGCAAGAACAGCCAATGCTCTTAACTGCTAGCCCCAGCTAGAACTCCCTATGTACAACAGGCTGACCTAAATCTCACAGGAACTAGCTGCCTCTGACTCCTGAGTGCTGAGATTAAAGGTACATGTCATCATGCCTGACTTCCTTTATGATTGATTGATTGATTGATTGATTGATTGATTGATTGATTGATTTGGGTCTTTTTGAGACAGGGTTTCCCTGTAGCTGCAGCTGGCCTGGATTTACTATGGAGACCAGGCTGGCCTCAAACTCACAGAAATCCGCCTTCCTCTGCTACCCGAGTGCTGGGATTAAAGGCGTGTGCTACCACGCCCCACTAAGATTTATTTTACTTTTCACTTATGTGTACATGCATATGCCTGTGTGTAAATATGTACATGTGAATGCAGGTGCCCACAGAGACCAGAGGTGTTAGGTCCTCTGGAGCTGGAGTTACAGGCAGTTGTAAGCCACTCTATGTTGTGCTGGGAACCAAACTTGAGTCCTCTGCAGTAAGTATTCTCAACTGCTAAGTCATCACTCCAGCCCTTTTCTTTTCTCCCTTTTTTTTTTTTTTTTTGGTGTTTTTGAGACAGGGTCTCCCTGTAGCCCCAGGTGGCCTGGAACTCACTATGTAGACAGGTTAGCCTTGAACTCACAGTGATCTGCCTGCCTCTGCCTCCTGAGTGCTTGGATCAAAGGTGTGCAGAACTACGCCTGGCCAGCCCTTGTTTTTCTTAAACATGGTTTAGCCCATGCTGGCCTTCACCTTGTGGTCCACCTATAAGGCACAACTCTCCAAATTGCTCACCTTTTTTGTTATTTCTTTACTAAGGATGCATAGTACATTTCTAAGTCTATGTATCAATTGCTCTGATAGGGAATATGTAAAAAAAAAAAAAACAAACACTATAAAGGTGCTCTTGGTGGTGAATGCCTTTCATCCCAGCACTTGAGAGGCAGAGGCAGGTGGGTGATTGAGGCCAGCTTGGTCTACATAGGGAGTTCCAGGCCAGCTGGGGCTACAGGGAGACCCTGTCTCAAAAACCAAACCAAACCAAACCAAAAAAACCACAACAATCCCCCATATTCCCCACCCAAAACAAGATGAGATCTTGGCATGGTGACACAAGCCTTTATAATCTCTACTTGGGAGGAAGAGGCAGGCATAACTCTGTGAGTTTGAAGCCAGCCTAGTCTATACATTGAGTTCCTGGCTAGTCAGGGCGACACAGTAACACCTTGTCTTAAGAGCAAAGCAAACAAACCCAAACCCAAAACCTAAAATAAAAAAACCAAACAACAAAGTACACAAAAAAATCCCATGATGAAGTTTGATGGCTCACACCTGCAATCTCAGCACTGAGGCCATAGCAGGATTGCTAGGAATCTGAGGCCAACCAAGGCTACAAAGTGAGTTTGAGGCTAGCCTGCCCTACAATGGGAACTTTGTCTCAAAAAGAAACAAACCACCAAGTAAATAAATAACATGACAGCTGGGTGTGATAGTACACACTTTTAGTTCCAGTACTCCGGAGGCAGAGGCAGGCAGATCAAGGTCAGCCTGGTCTACATAGTAAGTTCCAGGCCAGCTAGGGGACAGATAGACCTTGTCTCAAAAAGACCAAAAATAAATAAATAAATAACATGCCATTCTAAGGACTACCTGAAGCCTGAGCAGCTTAATGTTTTTGAGATATCAGAACACACTTCTTTGAACTAGAGCTTGAATCCAGGACACCAATGTCTGATACGCGCATAAGCAAATGTTCTGTCACTAAGCTATTCCCTCGGATACTAAGACTTTATGTACACACTGAAGCCAGGGCCTTGTATATTCTAAGCAAGTACTCTATCACTGAACTAGATTCCCAGCAAAATTTTATTTAAAAATTTATAAAATTTCATGTTATGTGTATGAGTGTTTTGCCTGCACGTGTATCCTGTGCATCCAGTGACTTCGGGGACCAGAAGAGGGGTCAGATCCCTTGGAACTGGAGTTATAGACGGTAGTGAGCTACCATGTGGGTGCCCTTAACTGCTAACCATCTCTCCAGCCCCTAACTTTATTATTTTTTCAAAGATTGTTCCTAGTCCAAGGCTTTAGTGGGACTCAGACCACAGTGGGTGTCTATCCAAGAAGCAGTTCTGTCTAGACCTTTGCACTGAGAAGTTGACATGGGTCTGTGGAGCTCTGGGAACTGCTCTACTGAGGTCCAGAGGGGATCTATCACCCATGGCCCAGCAAGACCAGTCCCAATAAAAACAAAGTTCCAACATAAAATGAGTAGTGTTTGATTCTTAGAAATAGCTAACTTATTAACAATTATTTTAAAAAATATTTTAATTTTTAAAAAATGTTATTATTTTCATTCCATGTGTATGTGTGCACTGCCTGCATGCAGGTAAGTGCACCCTTGTCGTGCAATGCCTGCAGAGGACAGAAGAGGCTGTCGGATCCCCTGGAACTGGAGTCATGGACAACTGTTAGCCGCCATGTAGGTGCTGGGACTCGAACCTGGGTCCTCTGCAAGAACAACCAGCGCTCTTAACTGCTGAGCCATCTCACCAGCCCTTTGTTTTTTGACAGGGTCTTTCTATAACCATAGCTGGTTTGAATAAGGTGGGGGTTTTTTTTTGTTGTTGTTGTTTTGTTTTGGTCTTTTTGAGACAGGGTCTCCCTGTAGCCCTAGCTGGCCTGGAACTCCCTATGTAGATCAGACTGGCCTTGAACTCACCAGAGATCCACCTGCCTCTGCATCTCCAGTGTTGGGATTAAAGGTGTGCACCATCCTGCTTTAATTTTATTTTTAAATCTGTGTAAACATTGTGTGTCTGTGTGAGTGCAGGTGCCTGAAGAGACCGAAGAAGTGTTGTATCCTCTCGAGCTGGAATTACAGGCAGCTGTGAGCTGGCCAATGTGGGTGCTGGTAACTGAACTCGGGTCCTTTGCAAGGGCACTATGTGCTTTTAACCACCCAGTCAGCACTCCAGCCCTGCACTTAAATATATATCAATATGTCTTAAGTTAAAACAACAACAACAGCAGCAACAACAAAAACCTCTATAGAAAGCCCAGTTTAGAGTCCTATCCAAAGGAAAACAGCCACCATTTCCCAAGCATCACACACTCCTGTGTTAGTTTTGTCTCTGAGGAACCAACCCCTGGGCAGCAGGCAATCCACACAAAGACAACAATGCAGGCCCAGGACAAGGACTGAACACAATAATGAAATAAGACCCTAGCCATTGGCCAGTTAGTCACAGTATGAATGTATTTAATGCTTCTGAAATATATACCTGAAGACAGCTAAGAATGTAATATATTTATTTTAATTTGCTATTGTAGGGATGGAACCCAGGATCTCACGCATGCTAGGCAAGTGTGCTACCACTGAGCTACAACCCCAGCTTTAAGAGGTTAGTCTCGCTGCATATATTTTACTATAATTAAAAATAGGCCAGAGATGGCTTAGTGGTTAAGAGCACTTGTTGGTCTTGCAAAAGACATGGGTTTGGTTCCCAAAAGCTACAAGGTGGCTAACAACTTTAACTCCAGGGATCTGTTGCCCTCTTCTGGCCTCCCCACACACTGCATACATGTAGTACACTTATAGACATGCAGGCAAAGCACTCATATACATAAAACATAAATAAAATTTTAAAAGAAAAAGAAAAAAAGTGAAAGACCGTGAGGTCAGACCCCAGCCAGTGGCGAAAAGGCTCAGGACTCTTGTATTAGGGATAAAAACCCATCAAACTTCTGGCTTGGGTGTGCTTTCTTGGTATGAATGATGAAATGCACACTTTTGCAAAAGTAAAAGCTGCCTTGCCAAGTTAAAAAAAAGTAAAAAAAAATTAAAAACAGATTAATCAAGAATGAGTACTCAGACTAGCAAAACTGTAGCAAATCTGAGTCCTCAATGAAGAAGGTGCTGGGGGTAGGTGGTGGGAAGAACTGCATAGAACTTCTCAGCCAACAAACAGTTGAAACAGGATTAGCATGCTCTGAGTCAAGTGGACATCTGTGTAAGACTTAGAGAATCACTGAAAGGGAAGTGGGAAAGCAAATGAGAGCAGGGTTTTTGTCCTAGAGTATCAAGGCCTGGTGGCTCGCATCCATAATTCCAGCATGTAGAGGAGAGGCTGAGGTAGGAGAACTACTGAAAGTTCAAGGTCAGCCTGGGCTGTGGAATGAAATCCTGTCTCAAAAAACAGAAACAAGGGCTGAGAGATGTCTCAGTGGTTAAGAGCACTGGCTGCTCTTGCAGAAGACTGAGGCTGGAATCCCAGCACCCACATGGTGGCTAACAACCATCTGTAATTCCCATTCCAGGGGCTCCAACGCCCTCTTCTGGCCTCCTTGGGCATTGTATGACACAGGTGCACTTATATACATGCAAGCAATACACTCACACGTAAAATAAATCAAAGCTTAAAAAACAAAACAAAACAGGGAACATGCCTTGCTGTAGGTGTTGGTAGAGTACTTGCCTAGCATGCATGGGGTCTTGGGGTGGATCCCCAGCATCACAAGAAAACAATGCTACTGATTCCCAAGCCTTCCAGGAAATCAATACAAAGGCTTTGAAGCCACTCAGCAGGTAGAGGTGTCCTGCATGACAGGATCTGATGACGTGGTCAGAATTTTGAAAGAACTATGCATGCTCACAGACTTTCTGAATGCCACTGTGTTCCATCCACAAGGGCCATAAAGGCATACTGATGATGACAAGTCTATGTTTGTGACTATACCAAGTAGTTATCATGGACCAGAAAGATAATCTTAACTCCACTATGAAGAAGCTCTATTGTTATGTGGGTTTCCTGTTAAGAAAACTGAACATCACAGGGATTACTGATATACATAAGATCACATAACTTGTAAGTGGCACAGAGAGGAAAAAGATTTGGGCAGTGTGACAGTGGATCATTACCCACAGATGAACAATGTAATGAAAAAGATTAAGGTAATGTATACATAAAATCTATGTGTGTGTATGTGTATAGTGTAATGCATATGTGTGTGTCTGGGTATGCATGCTAGTGCATGCACAGAGGAGGATGTCAGATGACCCTCTCTATCACCCTCTGCCTTATTCCCTTGAATCAGGGTCTCCAGAACCTGGAGCTAGGCTGGTAGCTAGCAAGCCAACAATAATCCTATAACAGACTTCTAGCCTGGGGTTACATTCACATTTGTAGTCATGCCCAGCTTTATACATGGGCAATGGGGATTTGAACTCAGGTCCTCATGCTTGTGCAGCAAACACTCTCACATTCTGAGCCATTTCCCCAGCTCCTAAATACAATGATCTTAATAGAGTCTTAATAGAGTCTCCAAGAAAGACCTCAATTCCTCATCTAGCATAGATGTCCTGAAGCTTAACAATATGGGCTCTAGAACCTGGGGATCTGGGTCAGAATTCTAGCTCTACAACTCGTGGCTGTGTAATTTTTGGCCAAGTAACAACTTCTCTGCGCTTTGACTTCCTCATGTGCAAAATATGACTATTAGTAAAACCACTTCCTGGAATTACAGTTAGGGTTAAACGAGGTAAATATAAACCTTTAGTAACATGCATGTACTAAATGCCCAACAAGAATCAGTTATTAATTTTTTTCTTATTGAAGATGTAAATGATTTGTAAGTAACTATAATTGAGAATAATTTTTTTTTTGAGACAGGGTCTCCCTGTAAACCTAGCTGACTTGAATTTGCTATGGAGACCAGGCTGGCCTCGAACTCACAGAGATCCCCCTGCTTCTGCCTCTGGAGTGCTGGGATTAAAGGCGTGCGTCACCATGCCCTTTTTTGTCCACTATGTGGATCAGGCTGGCCTTGAACTCACAAAGATCTGCCCATCTCTGCCTCCCAAGTGCTGGGATTAAAGGCGTGTGCCACCATACCTGGCTGAGAACAATTTTTTAAAGCTAATGTCACAATGGTCAAAATGTTCCAAAATGACTTCCGCAAGTTACAGTACTTGAGTCATTTCAGAAGGTTGAAGACTGAGAAAACTGGCAAGTAAGGCAAGCGAGATGGTTCAGAGGTAAAGGCGTTTGCTGCCAAGTTTGATGACCTGAGTTGGACCCCCGGGACCTGCATGGCAAGGGAGAGAACCACTCCTGCAAGTTGCCCTCTGACTGCTACACGAGTGCATTGGCAGACAAGCCTGTGCCCCACCTGATAAATAAATAAGTGTAGAAAAAAGGAAAAGAAAATTGGCACAGTAAATCTCATAAGACTGAAAGAAAGCATCAACACACACAATAGGTTGTCTTCCACTGTCAATTTAAAAAAAAACAGGTAACACTCTCATTAAGATGGAAAGGCAATTAAAGGCTCAGTTTACTTTGGGACAGAATTGCTTTAGCTCCATTTCCTTCCCAATACTCACAGTAGAGTTGGCGAAAATGGAATTTGAATTGGCTGCAGAGTATCCTGCATCTGTCAAGTCATCGCTGCTCTGCAAAGGGGCAAATTCAATGCAGTGGTTACTGGCACTGTGTGGAGAACCAAAAATCTATGTCTGTCTGTGACACCTGAGTATAACTTACCGATTTATTACTAGGTCCATGTAGAAAATAGTTCAATGCTTGTGGGTCTCTAGAAAAAGAAAGGGAAAAAGAAGAAAAATAAATAAATACTACTACCATATTTATATACATTACTGATTTTTAGCAGGGCAAGAAGAAAGTAACATATAAGCCTGAACAAAATCTACCTACTTTGAAAATTTTTTCTTCATGCTTTGCTTTTGCTTTTTATTTATTAAAATATTTTATTTGTTATTTTTATGTGTATAAGTGCATTAATTGTGTGCATGTGTATAAATGCACCCGTGTCGACAGCAGTGCCCGTGGAGGTTGGAAGAGGGCATTGGATCTGGATCTCCTGGAACTGGAGTTATGAATGGGTATTAGCCACCATGTGGGAGCTGGGAATCGAACCTGGATCCTCTGTAAGAATAGCCAGTGCTCTTAACCGCTGAGCTGCCTCTCCAGCCCTGCTGTTTTTTCTTTATATTGTTCCATTTTCTATTATCATTCATTTCTGTCTCCTGGGATTTGTTTTTTCAGTGCTGGGGATTGAACACAGGACCTTGTGCACACTAGGTGAGCATTCTAACAGTAAGCAATGCTCCTGGTCTGGCATCTTGGAACATGCTAGGGAAAAAAAAAAATAGGAAGGGACTACCCTATATTAATCTATTTCTTTATCCCTCTGCTGCAACCATAATTTAAAAAAAATTTTTTAAAGCCCAGCAGATTTCAAAATACCTATGGAGCTGTTTTGTTCCTCAAACCTCATACAAGTGGTCCACCCTGGATTCCGAACGAGCATCTTACCCAATAAGATCAAGGAGACACGAGTCATCATCATCATCCATGACAACTGTAAGGGAAGGGAGAGGAATTTCAGCAAGGCAGACCCCAGCAGCATGGACACAACATCAAACACCGTGAGTTCTTCTGTACCAGTAACTGTGGTTCACCTGAGTTTTTTCTCTAGTTGCTTATTATAACTGTGATTTAAAACATTTTGTGGTTTGTTGGGCATGGTGGTACCTGAGTAGGACTAACTTTAGTCCAAGAGTCAAGACCAGCTTGGGCAACAGCAAAACCCCATTTTACAAACAGAATAAAATAGAATAAATAATAAACAAGCAGGCCAGCCAGGTATAGTGGTGCATACCACACACCTGTTAGGAGGTAGAGGCAGGAGGACCAGGACACAAAGGTTACTCTTTGCTACATGAGGAGTTTGGGGCCAAGCTACAAGAGATCCTATCTCAAAACATAAAATTGATAAAAAAGAAAGATAAGATAAATAAAAATTCACCATTGCTTGAGAAAATTTTTCCAACTTAAATTGTTTTTATTATAAACAAATCTTCCAACTTATACTCCAAAAGATTCTTGACAAATCAAAGAAAGCAACTCTCCCTCCCCCAGATTCCCCAAAGGACTGTAAACGGCAAACAGTGACTATCAAATGTAGAACGAACTAGAAGAGAGGAATTTTTCATTTAGAAAAGCTCTCACAGACTCTGAAGTCTTTAAATGTTGTGACTCGATGCTTCTAACATAGAAAGCAATCTGGGTTTCTCAACATATTTTGGCGATCTTCAGGAAGGCAGACAGCGGGTTCTCCCTGCCTTTGGAGACAGAAGAGGACACTCTGGCCTCAGGGCCCAGTGCTTCCCTGTGCAGCAGTATTGCCAAGTTCAATCCCAAGCAATCCATAACCAGACCAGAACGTTTAAAGTAGAAAATCTCCATCACAAGTTCACCCAACTCTAGCCCTGAGCTCCATCTCCCCACCGGCTGTGGCCTCAAGCGTGGCCACACAGTGACGGGGCTCTGGTGGAGACAATAACAACTCAACAAATTCCAGGAGTGGATCTCCCCAAGAGCCAGTCAACTTACACCAGTGATCCGACACCTGGCAACCCTGCTTCTCACCCATTTCAAGCCATGCGTGGAATAATTTACATCACAGAATGCCAGGGCCAAGTGTTCTGGAGCAGTTGGAAAGGGCAGTTGTGAACGGCAGTTGGACGGAGGAATGAAATCCTGAAGGGATGCCCAGAGGAGAGACACGCCCAGGGAAGGCAGAGGGAAGAGTCTCTACTGTTTTTTCCCTGTTGAAACTACCATCACCCCTCAAGTCCCCCAAATCACTCACAAGGCTAAACAGATGTAGAATCCCCTCCAGCCACAGGGAAGGGCACTTTCTCTCCTCAGGAAGAGCCTGGAAGGGTAAGTACTCCTGACATGGGACCTGCCCGGTGGTGGCTGGATTTGCTGGCCTGCTGAGTGACTGGGCTGAGTACAGTCCACTGAGTAGAAAGAAGCCAGTGGAGAGGAGAGATGATGGGTGAGAAAGAAGGCGAGAGTGGGTAAAGTGCACCAAAGGGTAACATCAACAGCTGAAACCAAGCCCAGCTGGCCAAGTGAAATCGGCTCTTTAGGACCCAGACTTGGAGTTATTCAAGGTCATGCTGGCACGAATGTTCCTGCACACATGACTTCTGTGTAGGAGAGACAGGACTGAGAAGGAAACAGGAAATCTATCATCAAATGAATAGATCGAAATCTATCACACAAGCCAGGCATGGTGGTTCATATCTGCAGTCTCAGCACTCAGGAGGCAGAGGCAGGAGGCTTGCTGCAAGTTCAACGCCAGCCTGGTTTCCTTAGGCCAGCCAGGACTACGTAAGAAGACCCTTTCACAAACAAACAGCAACAACAATAACAAAAAGAACAAACCAGAAAAAAAAAATCCATTATACATCCCGATATTTAACATGGGAAAATGGCATTGACTGTAGTTTATTATCTACATACCATGGGCCCATCTCTCAGACATGATAATCCTGTGGAATAAATTACCCAATGATGACATATAGTTAGGCCTATAAAGTACATATTATTTCTATATATCAACATGGCTATTTAAATGCAACACCACTGTACCCCTTCCAAGTAGAGATTTTATAGGGCTGAGGACAGGGTTGTAGTTGAGTTGGTCTAGTCCACACTCAGCATGTAGGAGGCCCGGGTTTAATCCCTAGCATCACACAAAATAAAAAGTGCCTAAGCCTCTGAGACACATTAATCAATAAAAAATGTGAGGGGGCTGAGGAGACAGCTAGGTCAGTACGGTGCTTGCTGCACAAGCACAAGGACCTGAGTTTGTAAGCTGGGCACAGTGGCATGGATTTGTAATCCCAGTCCTGGGGGCCATGGAGACAGGAGGATCCCTAGGATTCACTGGCTTACTATTTTAGTCCAATTGGCAAGCTCCAGTCCCAGTGAGAGATCCTGTCTCAAAACACAAGCTGGATTAGGGCTGGAGAACTGGCTCAGCAGTTAAGAGCACTGGCTGTTCTTGCAGAGGACCCAGGTTCTGTTCCCAGGACCTACATGGCAGCTAACAACTGTAACTCCAGTTCCAGGGGATCTGACACCCTCTTCTGACCTCCATGGACATTGTACAACACACACTGCAATACACATGTATTGCAGGCAATACACTCATTGCAATACACATGTATTACAGGCAATACACTCATATACAGAAAATATAAAAAACAAAACCCAAAACAAAGTGAACGACCTTGAAGTTGACCTCTGGCCTCCACACACAGGTGCATACACACAAAAGAAGAGAAAAGCCTACCTTAAAGAAAAATATGTCCATCTCTCTTCCAGTTTCCCTCCCTTCCTGTTTGATACCTTTACCTAGCCCCTCTACTTGATGGAGGCTCTAAGGCTAAACTCAAATTCTGAAAAGTGAACACCAACCACTTCATGGAGGTATCACCACCACCTGGACTTCCAAGCACTGAGATTGTTTGCTACCTCAAAGTTTAAAGCAACAAGCTACTTGCTAAGCAGACCAAATAAAAGCACAATTATATATACACATCTGGTGCTAGGATGGAAGCCAGGGTCTCACATATGCTAAGTAGGCATCCTGCTACTGAGTTCTACCCCCCAATCAAACAAGGTGATAATCCTAGATGTAATTAAGTCATGGTATAACCTCCTCTACAAAACCAAAGAAGCTAGTCAAGCACTTGATTTTGAAAGAACTCAGTGGGGCTATTGAGGCTGCCCAACAGCAGGCACCCTCACCAGCAGGGCAGGCCACTCTTCCAGCCCCTGTGGCTAGAATGCCACAAGCCTTCACAGTCAGGGCACCCTGAGAATTCTTTTTTTTTGGTCTTCTTGAGATAGGGTCTTCCTGTAGCCCCAGCTGGCCTGGAACTCATTGTGTGGACTGAACTCCAGGCTGGCCTTGAACTCAGACATTCTCCTGCCTTTGACTCCTGAGTGATGGGACTAAAGGAGTACATCAGCACATCTGGCTCTGAGAATCCTTTTTTTAAAAAATTTTATTATTTTTATTTTATGTGTATGTGTACATTGCCTGCATGTAGGTAAGTGCACCTGTGTCATGCAATGCCCACGGAGGACAGAAGAGGCCATCAGATCCCCTGGAGCTGGAGTTACAGACAGTTGTTAGCTGCCATGTGGGTGCTGGGATTTGAACCCAGGTCTTCTGCAAGAACAGCCAGTGTTCTCAACCTCTGAGCCAACTCTCCAGCCCCTGAGAATTTTTTTTGAAGGGCCATATCTGGGAGCAGTGATGCATGGAATGTATACCCTATCCCACATATCATCCATACAATAATAAAAGCAAAACAGCTACAGTCTTTCCATACTTTCATTTTTATTTGGTGTGTGTGTGTGTGTGTGTGTGTGTGTGTGTGTGTGTGTGCATATGGAAGTCAGAGGACAACTTGTAGGAGTTGGTTCTCACCTTTCAACATGTGGGTCTCAGGGATTGAACTCAGGTCATCAGGCTTGGCAACAAGCACCTTTACCCAATGAGCCACCTTGCCGGATCCAGGAGTTCACGTTCATTGGATTCTCCCTTTATTTCTGAGTTCTTGTTGAGATTCTTTTCTCATTTACATAACAGTCCCTCAGTAACTAGATGGGTCACTAATACTGGGTGAATTTTGTAAGGCTATGTGAAAGACAGCACCTTCTCTAGAGGAAACTCCTAGACCAATGATTGGAAACTACTTCTTAGGCCAAGATAGGAGATCAGTAAGTGAGCCAGTCAGTATCCTCAGTGACAGTAGCTCTAGCCAGGAGAATTTGTCCTGGGGGAATGGGGGTGGGGGACCACAGTAGCTCTTACAAAGTCTGAGAGGCAGCTGAACACCCTGGATGCTTGGCAACCACCCTTAAACAAAATAAAGTTGGGGGGCTGCAATGATGGCTTGGCAGTTAAAAACACTGGCTGTTCTTGTGAAGGATCTAGGTTCAGTTCCCAGCACCTCCATAGTAGCTAACAACCATCTGTAACTCCAGTTCCAGGGGATCTAACACCCCTCTCCTGGCATCCACAGACACTGCATGACATAGGTGCACTTACATATATTCAGGCAAAACAAAAATTAAAAAAAAAAATAAAGTTTAAAAACCACTAAATGAGTCAACAGAACAGACTACCAAGTAGGGCAAATGGCTGCCATGTGCTCTCTCTGGATTGCTTTGATACAGCATGGGCACCTGTCACAGCTTCCAATCATAAGCACATTTACCCTCAAAATGTGCTGTGAGCAGTACCAGGAGCCATCACTGAAAGACTCTACTGGTCATCAACTGTGGCAGACATGGAGTCTTCAGAATCACAATTTCTTAGAGCTGAAATTGCTTTCCCACATACTTGCCATTTCGTTTTCTTTAATCTTTGAGTAAATCAAGAGTTAATCAAGTATTTTTTTCCTTCTAAAGGGTTCTTATTAATATGTATGTTTATCTTTACTTTTGTTTTATGGTATGAGTGTATTGCCTGTATGTAAGGGGGTCAGA